AGTGTAGGAAGAGAGGGTTGGCTTAGAGGACCATGCTGTTGTTTTAAAGCAAAAGGTTTTAAGGTTTTAAAACCTCTTACTTTTTGCTTCTACCTTTTACTTCAAAGTAAATGCCTCATTTTTATAAATATAGGCTAATGCCTCATTTTTGATGATCTGTATAAATAATCTTGCAGCATTTAAAATCGATAAATGTACAGGTATGAAGTATAATAATTTCAATTATTGTGTAATTAGAAGTTAAGAAGGGATCCTTTAATATCTTTCACTACGGAAGGAAGTTGAAAGAGGATCTACTAGTTATAAAGTTTTTGACAATTTTAATTTTTAATTACCAAATCATTGCGTAAATTATTTGACACTAATAATAAATTTAACCGTGCTCAAACCAGTTTTGATAAACAAACGTAGATAACTGTAGAAGTATCCGGTGCTTGTTTCTATTAATTAGTTAATTAAACTCGTAAAATTAGCATTAGGTACGTATTGATTAGGAAAATAGCCGCCATGGAATTACAGATATCTATTAATTTTGTATGTACCGAAAATTTAAACTCGCGGTACCAATATGGTGTTTACTTTATTTTTTTATCGAAACTTCTCAAGTTTTGTTATTTATTTACATTGAAAATACGCGACACCTGCCGTTTGGACCACGTGCCAGCTGCCATCACTTCGTGGTATTATTCACCTATAATATTATTAGGGAGAAAAATTTCGCAATCTAATAATGTAATATAAAAAGTTTTTTTTTTATTCATAGTATATGTAGGTATATATTTTACAAATTAGCTTATTACCTACTTATATCACCATTTGAAGTATCCTATAGGGAAATTATTTTCAAGAATTTAGAATATTATTAAGATTAAGATATTTTTCATTAATTATAATCAAATATTATCAAAATTAACTTGAAATTATATTAAAATTAGGTAGGTACTAAACTTACCTAAATATAAATTTTAGTACATTATACATCCATCTAGGATAGATTAGAACGGGTACAGAAGAATTAGAATTAGCAGTAGAATTGCAGTAGGAATTAGCTATTCTAGAAACTTATTTTTTTAATAAAATTTTTTGTCCTTTTCAAACATTGTAATATACTTAGGTACATAGAGCAAAAATAAATTGTGGTTCCTATAATACCTGATTAATGAACGCCGCTTAGGAATATATTAAAAAGCCACTTCAACCTCATTTAGGCCCGTATACCTACTTGAGATACAGCATAAAAAAACACGTATATTAAACAAAAATTAGCTCGAAGAGGGAGACTCACGGTCGACGTAATCAATTAAATCCGTAATAATGAATGACCTTTTGTGATTTCATTTACAACAATTTACAAGATAAATTGTATTGTGTTTTTACAGTATGTCGCTTGCATTGTTGAGGACATTATTTATTGGGATCGCATACGGTTGTGTCATCTTCGTTGATTGAACGTAATAAATTGAACGTTTTTTTTGTAAATTAATTGATTTTTTTATATTAATTTAGTTCTATTACGTTTTTTATGCATTCCCTGCCTCTGTATTTGTATCTGATGCGACGATTGCACAATTGCGAGCAGGTGCATTAATCAAAATTTAACGAACAGCTCCGGTATTGTTATAATGGACTTGCGAATAAGTTATTTTAATATCAGCACGATATTTCACGTTAGCCGAATAAGTAATCGAAGCTTTTAATATGTCGAGACTAACAAGAAGTAGGCTTGGATTTTATTGTTGTAAATTAATTTTAACGCATCTGTTAGAATTAACGAGATCGCAGGGATAATTTAATGCTGCATGCGAGCTGTTCTGCATATTAATTTTTGATAGGAGTCTTATAGGTTGCAATAGAAGGGAATTTCATAGTTACTGATCTGGAAATAGGAAATTTATATTCCAGTATAACAGGGAGATTTATAGTTGGGAGTGGTTTTTTGTGGGTTATAATAGCATTTTTAAAATTACTAAAACTAATGGCAATTACATTTAATGTCTGTTTGATGATCGAAATAATTTGTGAATTATGACAAAATGTTAATTAGATTTAGGCGGAATTCGTCGTTGCAATTATTCCCGTGAAAACATCCGAAAATTCCACCTTCTGTTATTCCATCCTGCGAAATATTTGATCTTTTAAAGCTAAACGCGACGGAAAAACTCGTTTCAAGTTCATAACTGCATGGACAATGCGAAATTCGTAATTAAAGAAGGCGCAACAAAGAGGGCAAAAAGGGGTCATTTATAAGCAATATTGCCTCCGATGGTCGTTGAATAGGTTAAGGCCCGTTGAACACATGCGAAGCAGGTGCACTCAGCATTTACACATACGCGTCGCAGCGGCGGCGTAATCAAATTTCTTTAAAATCTTATCAACAATCAATTTACCCTAATGGCAAAATAAATAATAATCTAGTGCTAAATGTAACAAATTAATGAAAACAGTCCACTTATAATTCCAAAATAAGTTTTATTGTTAAATTGTTAACTACATATTTTATAGATTCTTAAAAAATATTTCCTAACAGTATCATATAAAATTTAGTAAGTATGTTTATCCAACTTGAATCTTCTTATTATTACTTAAAAATAAATTAATTAAATTCTTAAATGTGTAATATTTACGCCACTGTTTATAGTGCGTATAACATAGAAGTCCGCTCGTTCACCTTGTATACTAGAGAATTTCGTTTTTTCGTTGCAGCAGTTACACCTGCTCCCTACTGGCCGATGCTTATTATTTTTATGTAATTAATTATTGAAATGCTCGTGAGAAAGTCATTTCACTATACGTGAACGAATAACGTCGCGTTAACTGAAGTTGACTCGCGTTGCGGAACGAGAGGAACAATTGTTGTCCAACGAATTAAAAAAAATAACGTGGTATTTTTATTTTTATTAGGTGTAAGTAAAGGCCGAGTGTAATTTTATTGCATACAAAATGCATCAATTTTTGGTTTGCGATTTATTGTTATCTATTTTCTATCTTCTCTTCCTACTCCTGATGAACAAATATTCAACAACCGATCAACTACAATAATAAGTAAATGTACACATTTTATGGATAGTTATAAGGATGAGAAGAAGGACGGGACGTCACCACCTGACGATTTGATCGGCTGAAAAGTGAACGTTCAACATGCAAATATTCGCTGATAAATCCTTCCACTCCACGCAATAAATTCCGACCCTTCGAATGCTCCAACTATTCCATCAATTTACCAGATGAGATGTCCATTTGAATCGCGTAAACAATTCCAAATCGTTTGTTTAACTCAAACGTTCGTTCGTAATAATAACGATGTAAATACATAGAGTTACATACATACATTCAATTGGTGTTGTTATCTCAAGATTCAAGACTATTTTCGCTTTAAAATTATTGTATTTACAAAGTGGTTGCAATGTATTCAAATAACTCGTACGATCTTTTGTTATTGAACATTATTGAGTTACTAATATTTTTCTCTTTATAATTCTCTGGCGAAATTTGGTTGTGTTGAATGAAAATTTAAGGGCATATTTTGTCAAGACGAAATTAGGTACGATGACGCGAGGTTGCTCCTTAATTACAACCTCTCGCATCTTTTCCGAATTTAATGACGAAATTTTAAAATGCCCACCTTTCGCTCTCGATTTCCAGGCCCCATTCCGTTAATTGAGCGCTTTTTACCTTCCGAGCGGCTCCTGTGACTTTTACTTACACCGAGTAGGTGGTTTCGTCGGGTAGCTCTAATTTTCGACGAATATCTGTTATTTTCGTGAATTATTAAGCTGTCGGGTTTGACGAAAGCTTACCGGTGGTTTTACCGACCTGTAGATATCTATTTTTTTCTTTGGTTAATAGTATAGTGCTACAAATTTGGCTCTAGCATTTGGTGCCTCTTGTTTGACGAAAATTGAATATCTGTATAAAAGATTATTATCTGGAACTCATTTGAATATGTTAGGTATATTTAGATGTAAAAAAACGGTGAGCAAAATAAATAGTTGCACGTAACAAACGCGTGCTATTGACCACCATTTTATATCTGACCAAACATATGGTGAAAGAATATGAAACGGCTCATTATAAAAAAAACAGACGTTTATTCATTGATTTTGTTACTTTATACATATAGCAGAATTGTACTGCTATGCTTCCTATAAAGACATATGTATATGTAAATTCTTATAACTAGCATAGTTCAATAAATTTTGGATTAGAGGAATATTTTGGAGATAATTTGGATTTAATTAAACACTATTTAAAAGAAATTTTATTATTTTCTGACAAAAAAAAATGCTTTAACATCGCACTATGCATCTGGTCCAATTCTATTTTTAATATACGCGTCATACTACTAATATCAAATTTTTCATATTGATGTTCCATTGGTAAAATCATCTATAAAAATCATTTTCGAAAATAATTTCCTATTCATGTAACCTTTCTGCAAAGTTAATTTAAAACAATATAAGAAGCAAAGACTTATATTTATAAGTTCTAGATGTTCCAACTTTAAAATACAATTAATTACTTGATAATATGTAAATGCAAATTCAAATCGAACTTGTAGTTTATACACACCATTAAACACCTATTTGAATTGCCTCTGACTAAACAACGTGAGTGCGTTCGATGGCAGCGAAAATAATAAAGAAAATCTTCGATTAAATTGCAATGTCGATTTTAATCGAACGTACGACGCAATAATGATTCGAACAGAAAAAGGGTTTACGCATATAATAACGTGTATCCGCGCGTTGAGAATTTACGGCGCAGGAAGGAGTTCAAATCAAGAATAAAATGTAAAATATAAATGATATCGAGTTGTTAGAATTCGCACCCGGACCGTGACCGAGCAGCGCGTTTTGCATACTAAATAATGGCACCTGCTAATTCGCATTAAATTCCATCGGGATTCCTATAATTGTCAAGACTATACTTTCGATTTTATCGCAACACGCCGCTTTGAAATTCATAATTTTAATATGGTTTTTTCTTTAATATTTTTGCAGACATACCGACCCAAGTGCCTCCGCTGACGCCTGGTACGAACAAAACCATGGCGGAGGCGCTCAAAGCGTCTTTCGCCTCGTGGGAAAAGGAGCAAATCCGATTAAACATTACCAAAGGTAAGTTGTTTTTTACTTCACAACAAATCGAATACATTGGCAATGACTAAAAAATAATTCTCCTATTTTCACCCCTTTTATTAGGCAACTCCTTAATTCTCAAATAAGTTGCAAGATATTTTAGGAGATCTAAGCATTGATACATCTACATTCAACAGATAATATTTAAAATTTACGTACGTTTTCCCTTTATTGGTATGTCCAAATATCGACCAGACAAGATGGGTCATCAAGTCCTTTTTTCCATTGTTGATTGTCAGAACACACACGATACATTTTTCAAAGGCCGCGCCGCCTCAACGCGACGCTGTTTACATTCTGATCCGGCCGTTTAAAATTCCTCGAGTTGGTGATACATGCACGAAACACCGAGGGATTTATCGCCTTCGGATCGTCTGTTTGTTTCGTCTTCTCTCGAGAAAAGGCACAAATGAATTTGTACAATATGTGAGTAAATTGCGTGAGAGATCCGATCAAGGCATTGTCAACTGTGCCATGATTGGAATTAAACTCTGCGCTATATGTTAAAAGAGAACAAGAAAAGAGTGTAAATTCACGAAGTATAAAGTCTGCATGTTTCAATACTTATAAGAAACGTTATAAAGAAAAAGAAGTTGAAAATAAGCGAATAAATCACGTGCTTTAGAAATCGAAAGACTCGGTGAACGACAAACATGCCGAGCGTATAGTCCTTTTCAAGATATAGTAGAAAATGACTTTATAAGCTGATGAGTTTACGACTACCCGGTGCTGTTTAGGGTACACGCCGCACTCGCCGGTCGAATCACGCAGAACCGAATTTTAAGTTTGGTACGTTCGCTGCGGCTAAGCGGCGATGCAAAATACTCATTAAATAACATTTCTTAAGTTCTTACCTGGAAATGTAAATACTGTTTACCACCCGACCCGACCGAAGTGCTTCAACGTTCCATTGTATTGGTATTAGGAAAGTCATTACTTTATTGCTATAATCCCTAAGCTCTCACGCCTCTTTTCTACTATATCTTGAAAAGGACTATACATACTTATTTATTTTATACTGATATGCTTCTATCGAAAAATATGCAGCGAGTGAAGCTCGTTTGGAGATCTCGTTTATTTCAGATTTATGACTCGATAGGGGGTACATACAACAAATCGGCGTGATAAAATCGAATCAAATCATCTCCTAATTGGTCAACAACTCCCGATAATTATCAGATTTATGGGTTCGAGGCACCTCTACATACATAGATATAGTCCTTTCTTTAAGATAATCACGAAGAGATATTTCTGTTTTACGCAATTATTTTTTGTCAAAAGACTAACATGTCTCCGCGCATACAAAGTCTCCATGCGTGCAAGAACTTCCCATCATGCACCGTTAGTTACATCTAGTTACGACGTTATCCTAAATGATATGGGTAAACATTAAATCCATATCTAAAAGTTTTTATTTACCTAGGCGATTTGATTGTCTTATAATTCGATACCGTATTTCTGTAAACAGTGTATACGTAGATAATTGGATGGTTGTTGGACATTCTACACACTACCTAATGGCTCGGAGGATCTTGTAATGATCTCGGAACACGAAAAGCTTTATATACAGCTGCTGCGTTGCCGTTTTATACCTATGTGCTTCTTGACTCGATTACGATGCTTTTAAGAACTTTCATCCAAAGAGTTTTCATCCAAAATGATTCACTAAAACTTTGCCGTAAAAATTTTAAAATATCCTCTTGGTAAAAATCCGCCGTTATATGCCGGAACTAAAAAATGATGGTAAACTTAGCAAGCGAATATTGGTAGATCGATTTCATTTTATAAATGGTAAAAAGCTTCAACCCAAATGTTCCATAATATATGAATATAAGTTGCAATTTTAAATGCATTAAAAAGCTTTCAGCCTGTAAATTTAATTTCCATTCCATATTATACATGTGATTGAAAATTGTAGCTACGGGTTATACGTATGGTAACTTTATTATTATTGAAGTTATACAAATTGGGTTAAATTGACCAAATATAGGGTAACAGTATGTTTCTCTCAGATGATTAAAAGGGAAAAACAATCATAAAATAGTTATTAAAACATACTGTTTAAATGTCAAGGCCAATACCTATATTTAATTAAAAGGTGTAGAGCAACACCAAAAAAGATTCAATTATAATATTTTTAGCCAAACTGAATCCTAAATGACAGGGATGCAACTCAAAACCGACAACGTTGTAATTGCTAAATTTTTACAATCCCCAGGAGATGATGTAGATAACAACCTTACTCGGCTAGTTAATTAACCGCTACTGATGCGTAAATGATTGGCAGTAAAATTATTCATTTCTCGGTAGAGTACCAATTAATATGTATTACATAAAAAACGGCAGTAATAATAAGAATTCGACAAAACGAGGATTCGATGACATTTTTTGCCTGATAGATTTTGGCTCAAACGTTTTACTTATATCGCTTGATTAATACAGTCGTTTAAATTTTTCACGTAACTTTTCAAGTGTAATGCCTAATGTGATTTTACAACCATCTATAACTGGTACTGGAAATTGAGATATGCTATGAGCGCGTGTTATTGTCCGCGAACGCGCTCCGGCAGCAAAACGAAAATAATAAAATGACAGAAACAAAAGGTGAACCGGAAACGATCGGATCGACGGCGCACCATCAGCGAAAGTTTCCGTTTTCTATTGAAAACCATCGGTGCGGGACGTTGCAGCATCCGTTCGAAATAAAACATTTGTAAAATCACCTGATTTAATAATGCGTCAACGTTGCCTTTACGTGTCGAGGTTTCCTACAGGCATACAGATAAGTACTTGCACAGTCCATATGTTGTTGGTTTGATATTCGTCACTGTATATGCTCGACATTACGCCTGAACGAGCTCCCTCAAAGTAATACGGCGACACATTCATTCGTAGAAATCCGAAATTTAATTCCTTTATGGTCAGTCGATAAAAATTTTGAAATTTCAAAATTGGTAAATTTTTTTAAGCGAATATTATGACTTAAATATAATCGTTTATTAACAATACTATAGCTGTTGCAAATTCATTAGCCAATTAAAATGTATTGGTAAACGAAAATGGCAAAGTGACGCGTAGAGTAATTGTAGTCGCATGTCCATAACTAGAAGAGAATTTATTCGACGAAGTTTATTCTTAGAAAGCCATTGTCACCTCTGATTATGCCGTAATGATTATACCGCATTGTTCTCAAAACCAAAAAGAATATACTCCTATAATAAAAAAGTTATCACGGTTCAAGCGAGGTCGTTGCGGAATATTAAATTACCCAATCCAAAAATCACTTTATTAAATAACGCTGTCTACTTCGTCGCCACAATTTCGTATATGTACGTTTTAATTTCGAAAATTAAAATAGGATTTTTCGTCGTGGTACATCAAAGTCGCGGGCAATTTAAACGAATCCAATCGGAACGGTTTTTTTAATAGTAGGTGGTTATTGAGCCCCGACACAATTGGTGACCGCTCAACCGTCGGATTTTCTACCATATCAAAGTAAAATCTGTTACGATTGCGAGTGCTGCAACAATGGCGTCCGACTTTAATATCTCTGTTTATCTGCGTTTTTCCATTGTTGTTCGAGTGGGCAGGCACAATGAGAGTAGCCCCGACTCTCCGGCACACAACGCGCTTACACACATACCATATGCATTATATGCATTTATTACGTTTTGCTTATATAGAATTTACGTCAGACGTGTCATAAAAATTAAGTCAATTTCGAATGATTTATTCCGATGAATTTAGCGCGCTGGAATTGTTTCGAATATGGACGGTCTTCTAATCGAAAACGATTCAAAGGGGTCCCATTATTGAAGATCCTGAAAAGGTATAATCAATTTTAGAACTCTTCTGGACAGATTATTTTGATTGTTTTAATGGTAGGACCTATCAAATAAAAAATATTAATATTTACGAAGTGAAAAAAATATTTTCGAATATGGCCATATAAATATAGAACACAAAAATGTAGATATTGTATGTACATACCTACGGATCGCACCATACAAATAAATTTAAATTTTATTTATTATTTTAAAGCCACCTTTTAATAAACAAGATATTAAGATAAACAATACAAACAAAACTCCCGGCTATAACAAACTGTTTTCCCGATAGGTATGTGTCATGTTATTTTAAACACAAAAATAATGCATATTTAATAAAAAACAGTTCACCTTTTGACAATAATTTCATTTTAATTTCCATTCATTCAATATAACAATTGTGAACCTGTTTAGTGATTTTAAATAACAATTCGAGCTCGTTTTTAATCCATTCGATACTCTATTTTATGGAACACATTGAAAATTACCGAAGTAACATTAAATATATTTTTATACCTACTTGTTTATGTATACCTGGAATTTAAATATTCCTTTAGTTAAAAAAGTCTGTTACACGTATATTTATTCACAACCCGTATCAATTGACCAAAATTATAATTTCACCGAAAAAAACTTTTACCTTTCACCGATTAATTGGTTATTTATCTTATTGGGAAACTTTTGTTACAAGGTATTTTTTATTGTTTCAGATCCCCGCCAATGGAGCGAAAACCACGTCGCCCATTGGCTACACTGGGCGGCTAAAGAATTTTCTCTGGATTGCATCCCGTTAAACCAGTTCCGGATGAAGGGAAAAGACATTTGCTCGATGGGAAAAGACGCCTTTGCGGCGAGGGCACCCGCCTTCGTCGGTGATATTTTATGGGAGCACTTGGAGTTACTCCAAAAAGGTGATTAAAAATGATTATCGCTTATTAGATTGGTTGTTCTATACACATAAATTATTGGTTTCGTGATATAATCGCGACTATACATCGTTATTTACCTATTGCATAAATCCCATATGAAACATCATATTTACAAAGCCGTCATTATTCCACAATCAATTGCACACACAAACGACGCTGATTTCTGTCGCTTCGCCTTGATTTAATACACGGGCATTAGTTATTTCGAAAGATATTTACTTGAAGAAGTCGAAAAATAACATGTTTTGTTCCTTATTTTCCAATTGTTCTATTACTTGTATTTACCGATGTTATTAAATCTACCACGACAATTATTGATAGTTCTAAACCGACTCGAACGTTCCGCGTATAACACGGAAAAGTGTAATAAATTTATGCTTTTTTAACTTTATGTATACAATTTTGAAGTACCTAGGTATATTCGATTAGGTATTTATTTTTTAACCTTGATTTTAAAATGAACCAATTATTCAACTAGAATAATTAAGAATTTATAAATAGGTAGATGTTAATTAAGTCAAAGCATAGGACTATGTCCGTTTTTAAGATCTTTTTCTATTGTAATTGCATTGATAAACTCATATAGTAGTTACCTAGATTAACGTAAAATTACTCATTGTTTTAGACATTGAAAAAGAACGAGCTTTGAATAACCTGTACGAGCCAATATGCGTTCCAGACATGACCTACATCGACTATTCTCAGGCGCCGCCTCCCGCTCTGCCGCCGCCGGGAGAAGACAGAAAACCTATTGTCACAAATTCTCCCCAAACGCCAAGTAACGCCACGTCGCCGACGAACAACAATTTCGTGAATGAAGGTAAGCTAAAATTTATACTAAATTTTACCGAAAGGATTTAATTTTGCAACCCTAATAAGTACATCAGATTTAGGAATGTTTAAGGATATTTGCTATTCAACCTCGTCATTGTCACTTGTGAGTTATCGGTTTTTTTTGTATTATTTGGTCGTTAATTATCATAACGGTTTATTATCGAAGTTTCGTTCGCCCACACTACGTGTGTTTTTAACTGAATGTTGATATGGATAACCGAGAATATTTCTTCTTATCGTGGTGAAAACTGGGTACAGTGTATTTTTTATTTTTTTTCGATATTGCTTGTTGACTTTTGTTATAAAAAATAACGCCCACTCGGTTAGGAATTTTCCGATTTGTTTATTACACTCGAAAGCGAGTAGGTAATGCAAGGGATCATTTCTATTCTTGCGCTGTTTTAGCGATTTATAATTACAACCAACGAATTTTTGTCCTTGATACAACTTCGAAATCGTTTATTAAATTTATAATATCGGTGTCGCTTATTGTTGAATTACGGTTAAAACAGAAAACAAAGTAATAATGCGATCCTTAATTAGGCGAAGGAACGAACGTCAGTCGCAAACTTGATTGTCTGCCAGGTCGAATTTGTAATTCAAATAGCGCAATTATATATTCACTAATAATTACAAAAAATCCTTACAAAACACAATAATAATAACAATAAAAAAATGAAAGAACCATTGATCAGCAACGCGTGACATACCTTGAAATCCAACGAATATAAAAATTATGAAAATTATTAAAATTAAATTTTAATTATCATTAAAAAATTATTATTGCCTAATCAGATTCACGTTAAGAGTAACATTTTTCTAAAACTTGTTAATAAGAAATTAAAGCATCAGTTCATCTTAATCGTATACCTATATCAATGCCTTTTATTTGTTAAAAAAATTGTCGAAATTTAAAGAATAATACCAGCGACTACACAGTAGATGAAGACGTTAATTCTGCTACATAACTGCATTAAACGAATCACCTACTGACAAACGTATTAACCTGGATTAGGTAATCGAAGAACTTTCGTATTCGGCAAACCGTAACAAAAGGATTTTTTAATTGCAAAATATTGTTTAATAAATTTTTCGCTACGTCTACTTTGTAATCGTATATGCGAATTGAAGAAATCCAGAAGGACCATTTACCAGAAAATTGTAGTTCTCAAAATTTATGGAAACTGGAAATTGTCTGCAGTACGATGATGATACAGATACAGTGAGATATTAAAGAAAACTTGGTGAAGCGGTAATGTCAATGAAGTTGAGCTTAAGACTTTACCTAATGAAAGGAAGAGAGAAAGATAAACCATAACAAGATGATATTAAGCTTATATATTTTCATTGGCTCTGATTGATCTACTGATTGTGTTAATAAGAGACCTTATATTAAAAACCAAAAGGAAGATAGGATATGATGGTATGCTAGGGATTGCTAAATTTTGTAGCGATTCTTTATAGGGATAATCTTTATATACTCGTAGATATGCCTTTTAAGTTTCTTTGGTGACCAAACGTTCTTAGGAAAACATATCTTGCTAATGCCGGTCGCATCGAAATCGGTTTCGCTTATTGACTCTCTCGACGTTGGTAAACACATTCGATTTCGACATTTAACATTAAACATTAAAAAACGGTACGAACAATGGATTCGACGATGATTTTGATAGTGAAAGTAAGATAAGCCGGTCGTTTTTTAAAATTGCGTATTCTTCGGCAACCATTGCTCGGACATGGTCCGTTTCTTCTTCAACAATGCCAATGGTGCCGTCCGTTTTCTGGGTCTTCAGATTCTGTTGAACGGTCGGCTCCGCTACCTATAGAGTGCTGCGTTTCTGGTGATCCTATATCGATACCTTCGCATCAGGATAATGAGTTGAGGAAGTGTTTATGCACACGATTTTTCCAGTTTTCGTTTAGTGTTAAATATATCAGTGAATTGGATTCCCGATGGCGTTGGTGTTCAAAGGTTGGTACTTAAAGTTTTGCTCTTTTATTTTCATTTTTACTCATCTAAATTGTGTTATTCTTCGATTTCGTTTTGTATGTTGTTTTCTTATTCGATCGTACAGCGAACAGGTGGTTTGCTGTTGTTGAACTCGGCGCGAATTAAACGAGTGTCATTTTAAGTGCGGCGGAAATGGTGGAGATTTCCCGTCGAGAATCGCACGCTCGATCGTTTCCTGAACTCCGCGTACAATCGATTACGATCCGGATCCGATTAGCTTTAATTTCGCCTTTAGACTGAACGGTAAAGCACTTTGAAAGACGGGAAGTTTTTAAAAAAATCTTCTAATTCGTTACATTTTCGAAAAAGTTTTACTTTCAGTACATATTTTTAATTGATTGATGAAACCAACATTAACATTTTGGTAATTGTGTGTTTTTTTTTTCTAACAGAGCGATATATTTTAAAGTTTCAACGTTAAGTAAAGTAGCTATACGCCTATTTAATAATAATAACAAAGAAAACGGCGTTTATTATTATTGCGCTGGCAAAAAGGCCTTAAGCTAGCGTTAAAATCACGCGAGAAATGAGATGCAGATCGTTAGCTTCCTGCAGATTTCAACTTCATCTTTTTTACTAGGTCTCTTCCGCTGCTAAGCGAATCTAACCCGATTTGTTTACAAGCGAGCGCGAGCGGCAAAAGAACGCGCCCGCTTGGCGGAATGAGGAAGTCCAGATTGTTATTTTCCCGCTTTTTCGCGTATTTTGATTAACGCATTTAGATGCTTATTTATTTGTTTGGCGTTAATTAATAATCGTAATTATCCAAGTTCTATAATAGAATATTTTCGTTGGTTTTTTTTTTCAAGAGAAGGTTTGGAATTGTTAGTTAAAATCAATGAATGAATTAAGTTCTCACGTGTATTGTAGAGTGAATGAAAGGTTAGTTAACAGAGTCCCAAAATGTATAATACTATTTTGAATTTCTTGGTTTAAAGAACATGGAAAGAACTTTGATATTGTAAAATTAAGACGTTAGTAATTTGCTTAAAAAATTGCTCTAATTTTAATTATCCATATTTTTCCCAAATTCTATAAAGCTATCATTCAAGTAGAGTCTTCCTGTACACATTATAACAAAACATTTAAATATCATTAAATATTTACGTGAAATCAATATAACCTACTTTTAATCGTCATATCGGAATAGCAAATAGATGTTTTATCTACCTTTTAATTCGTTTCTTGAACCCCCGAGGTTGGAGGATATCCTGTGTTATTCTCACCTGCGCAAAAAAGTGCACAAATATGCAGGCGAGTATAACAAACGACAGGACGTCGTCGGATTTAATTCATTCGATAATTTTCCACGACCAGTCAATGAGTTTTAATTTCTTACGACGAATCCCGTACGAGAAGCTGTTTATCTGCTTGGAAAAAAAATGGTACTTCCGTCGTACTTTCATAAGTACGATGTACGTATATAGAAACTTGGACTGGTGTACGGTTTGTGCTTCAAAATGATTTCCTTTTTTTAATGTGTACAGTTTTCTTATTTAAGCAAATTGAAGGAAATCAAGTTTAAATTATAAATATAGTCGTTATGAAAAATGTTACCATAAAAAATAATTCGAGGGAAATAGGTATACGCAAACTGGATTATTCTTTTTAATTTTGCGTTTAGTTTTTTGTGATGAATATGGGCGTTGATGCCGAAACAGATGTTCGACTATTACGCAAAATCGAGTCCTTGGCGTATAGAGCTTGGCTTACCCTAAGTGGTTCTCCTGAGCAATTGTCAGTGCTAGATCGTCAGATCCTTCTTTAAACCACCCATTTCCGGTGCACGCACACACACATACTCGACAAATCGAATATACACACCGACGACAAGGAGCACAAGAAAACTTCACCACGTGCTAGCAACCATACTCGAATGTCTTGTACTTTTACCAGGGGCGGAAATTTAGGGGGATGAAATTTAAGTATAGTTAATGATGCATGTAATAAGCAAATGTATATAGGAAGTGAAGTATAGATATCAATCTAATATTTAAAAATTATTCAGAAAAAATTATTGAAAAACCAGAATTTACCTCAAAAAATTTGTTGTTCAATTGTTCAAGATAATTTTTTGGATTTAAACAACCGTTTATGATATTATTTATAAGACATTACATAGTATCTAAATGTAAGTGTTTAGGATACAACTTTTAATACAAATTTAAGAAATAATTATGAAATTTTCCTATAAATAAAATAACTTTTGATTTAAGAAAAAAAAACGCTACTGGCTTCCAAAGGTATTCGATATCAAAACGCTGGCATAATAAAACGCAAGTGGGCCGGGAAATATCCCGGTGCGCACGTGTTTCGGCAGATACCCCTGTCATGCTAGAACTTCCTCTCTTTCCACCGTTCAAAAAAAGGGGGTTGAGTCGCCCCTCGCGGGGGGCAGGACCGAGAAACGTCTTCTCCTGACACGTCTCGAATTACACTTACCTACCTTTACTTTCGAACAGCGAGAATTAATGAGAATTAATGAAAATTAGACATCAATTGCTAGATAATCTAATTATCTCAAATTTAAAAAAAAATTAGATATACTCGAGTAAAGAGGTACTTTAATAGATAGAATCAAGTTTTATTTACATTCGACCATTCATATCAACAACCATTTTGGATATAAAACGTTATTCAAAAACTAGTTGTTTTATTAAAATGTCACTCAAATGAACCCCTCTTACAAAAACATTCCGGTACTCATCAAACTGCATTAGAAAAGATAAATTGAATAGAGTGCTCCTTAACCCCGTTTTTCGAGGGGCACTACCCTTAGAACTGTTTTCGAACCCTAATTTCAAAACTCGTCTTTCTTGATGAACGCCATACTGATTTGAATAGTTAATGGCCGACGATGATAAAACGGCGTTGAATAACAAACAGAGCACAACAATATCTCTAATAATGGGGTTGTAATAAACTAGAATTGAACTTGAATTATCAGCCTGTAAGAGTTTATTCGTCATTATTAT